GTCTCCTTATCTCCTGGGTACCCTTCTTGCCCTTCCTAGCCCCTACCCCCACCCCCACCACAGCTAGAGGCTGACCGGTACATGGTGTATTCATTGGGGGGTCCAGAAGTGGGGTCTGAGCCATTCTTCTTCCCAAAGTTCCCTGTCCAGAGCACTGTGTCGTTGTGGATAACAACTGCAGACATGGCGGCCAGGCCTGGGGCAGACATCGCCTGACGTAGGATCCTGTCCACCTGGGGGGAGGGGAGCAGGAGGGGCAGGTGCAGTGACAGAGCCCTCCCCACCCCCGTCATTCTGCCCACTGGCTCCCTCCACTTGGCCATGCTCCCCGCCATGTCTCCCTGAACCCCTTGAGAACTCCCAGTGAGTCTCCAGGTGCAAGCACAGCCATGCCCCTGGCCCTGGCTTCAGACAGACCTGCTCCCCTGGAATCGCTTCTGTACACAAGGCTTCCCCATATAATAGTATTCCTTTATCTTTAACTTTTTAATGTGAACTGGGTGAAGGATGACCGCATCATCAGTTTTGCATTCAATAATCCACACACCTTTTGTTTCATCTCACTCATTGCAATCCGATCCCCGCAGCGTACCATCCCTCCCTGGGCTGCCAGTGTCCATTCTCAGTCTCCTCATCTGTTAAGATGATCAGTACTCAATAAAAGGTCCTGGCAGCCCTGTTAAGCTACCATGCAATGGCATGAAATGTGATGTGTGTGTGTGTGTGTGTGTGTGTGTTTCACCAACTCAGTGCTTCTACCATTTTGATCTTTGCCAATCTGATGGGGGTGGTAGTGGATGTGTCTTGGTGTCGTTTTAATTCACATTTAACTTATGAATGATGTGATGTGTACCGTGTGATATTGTTCATATTCATATTTAAGACCCATTTGTTTTATATTTCACTTCATATGAAATGTCTACGCGTGTCCTTTGCCCGTTTTGTGGAAGGGCTTTATATTGATTTGTAGACGTCTTTATATCATGAGGGAAAGCAGGTCTTCATTGTAAATTGTCTGTAATATAGACCCACTGACTCGCTCTTAGTCTGTTAAGCAGTCAACCTGATTTTGACCCAACAAGTGATCGTGATTTGCCTACTTGGTCTCAGTCCCAATATTCATCTCAGTTTGACCTTCTCAGATCTGTCTCCAGTTGGGGCAGCAGCCCAGCCTCGTGGGAGGGAGGACTGGCTGGTTCCAGAAGGGCAGAGTGTGGGCCCACCCGGGCTGGATGAGGACCTGCTTCTCAGTTCTCCCACCCTGAATGGTTCAGGGTGGCCTGCACAGGTTCAGAGACTCACCGGAGAGCTGACTGGCCATCCTTCGGAGGGTGACAGGTGAAGGCCTTGGGGCTGGGCCGCCCTCTCCCAGCTCATCCATCAAGGTCTGCAGGTTGGGGGCTGACGCGGTGCCCAAGGGGTTGTTAATGGTGAACGTGCTGGCGTACCGTTCCAGAGGGTCATCTAAAGAGGCCACGATGCCTTCCTCCCACAGGCGGTACAGCATGAGAACTGGGAAGACCTTTGAGACGCTGGCGATGCTAGGCAGTGTATGAGAATGAGGGTACAGAGGGCACCCACCCCTGCCTTGCACCCCGCCCTCCAGTATCCCAGGAAAGCAACCATCCGATCCACCCTTATTCAGCATCTCAGGTGGGAACTAACCAGCCCCTGCAGACGAGCCTTTGGGATACTTGAGAACACACCAAAAGCAGGGGGGGAGGGGCGGTGAACACCTTCCCCGTGCCTGGTTCTTTGCCAAACACTGCCCATTCTGGGACAGACCTTGTGCGTCTCACCAGCTGTGTGGCCTTGGGCAAGTGACTCGGCCTTTCTGAGATCCCACTTGGTTGGCTGTTGAATAGGGGTAATGACACCTGCTTCATGGGCTGCGGCAGGAAGGCTT